ACACGAGTTTATGGAGCAAGTCATGGTGGTAAGGCGCTTCCCATTCCACGTGATTATACTAAAGAGGAACCCTTTCAGGAAGGATCGATATACAGGTGTAGTAGAACTTCTTCTGCAATATGGCGCTCTCAGCCATCATCAAGAGTAATGAAAACTAGTGTGGAAGAGTTTTTTTTGCGTTTTTACATGAACCCTTTCTACTATTGTCTCTCATTCTCTCTCTTGCTGGCACATCTTGAAGGCAGGGTTAAGTTCACCTGGGACTGATATTTCTGCGTTCAGGCTTATAAAGTTGAGAGCGGACGATTTTTCTTCGTTACATTCTTCTACCAAAGTGACACATAGACTGTTCCATAATGGGCGGTTTTCACGATAGCGGACTGTTTCGTCTTGTTCGTAGCCCCACCATTTGAACGACCGTGCTCCTGTTCTGGCGTAATTATTCCGATGAGTCCAGACCAAAGGGAAACACTGGACTCGAGTTTCGCTCTTATTAGAGCTCATCAGCAGTGCATATCCAATTGCCGTGCCGGGATTTGAACCCTGGATATCTGACATCTTGGTGTGCTTCTAACAAGGCCTATTGCAACTTGTGAATTCGGTTATTGCCACATGGACGCCCAGTGTCTGTACACCTGATGTGGTTTTGTACCCAAGATGTTTTGCTTGCTTAAATGGAGCGTCGTATGACGTTCTTCACTAATCTGAGGAAATTAACCCTCAGATAATACAGAATTTTGGTATGCCAAAGTTTCTTTCAAAAGAGATGACAGTGTCCGATACCGAATTCTCGTTTGATTCATTCAAGCGCTCCGTACAGAGGGGAATAGACTTAAATAAAAGGAAGTTTTACTGAACCACTGGGGACATGCACTGTTTAAATGGATTTCTGAACTACCGTAGTTTCGTGGTCCTCCATCTTTTTAGCACTAGAAGTCAAAGCACAATGACTCACCATAAACCATTGTACTCACCGTTTCACCCTCCCTAGAGGTACACCCTGCATTCATACAAGATCGAATGCCCCGAAAAAGGACACTGCATTAGCAGAAAATCACTTTTTGTCATTTCCAGTAGGGTCAGTTTCATCTCCGCAAGTTACTTCTTCCGTCTGAACTGAACCCCTGAGATAGTCTTTTCAAGCGCTCGTAAACAAGACCCATCCTCTGTCGAAAGATAATCTAGTGTTTGAATAAATCAGGACTACATTGGGAATTCCCTTTCAGAACCTCAACTGTTCCCTGAGATGGTAAAAAGAAACAAAGCTTCGCCGAGAACTGGACGATGAATTGGGTGAGCGGTGCTTCTGTCTACAGGCTGATAGTAGTCCAACTATCTCATTTGGTCTAGTCTAAATACTAGTTGACAAACACTGTGTAATATTCCGTCGCCGTGTTAGCCCCCAGAACACTTGCCATGGATTTGACCGGTTCCGTTTTGTCATGATTGGTAATCTACCAACATTCAATTCTGTCCGCATATTATGCTGGTGACAGAACGATACTGTCAACACTCAGAAGAGCCTCATCACACGCATTTCCGGTCAGCCTTTTTCCGACGCACAATGAACTCTGCACACTCATCGTTTATGGCGCGGTGTGTGGAATGGAGTCGATCTGTTTGTGTGGTGGAGATACGGAGAAATTTAAAATTTGAATTATCTGATGATTATGCGCTCCGTTTTTAGGACACGTGAGATCGGTTGCAAGTCTTCGTGACAGATTAGACAGCATCTAACCAATCTAATGCGAGCCATTACACTCTGGATTATCATTGAATCATC